GTTAAATCAATATCAATTAAATTAAATCAATATCAATTTAATTTTTAAATTTTTTCTCTCCTTTGTAAAAACTTGTATACAGATTAGAAAATAAAATTTCTCACTTTTCATTTGAGAAACATTAATGTTCTCCTTTCCCCTAAATTTCTAATGGAATTGAAATGAGCATTGCTATTTATTTCCTCCTTTGTGCTGCAGTCACATGATTACAGTGTATCTCTGGGATCAGGACAAGTCCAATCCCGTAATTCTTCATTTAAGTACAGTACATGTATTGTCTTCTATAGGTCATTTTATGTGAGTCATGATTGCTCACATGAATAAGGGATTGTAGAATCAGGGCCAATGTTAGTTACCAGCTGCTGCATTGGGTGGCAAAGGAACTAGGTTTTGTTTTCACATCATCATTACTGCATGATAGTAATGGTAACAATGGGATTTTAAGGAAAAGAGCATACCTGGAATCAGGGAATATCCCCTACTGCAGAATCAAACTGTTTTAAAGACAGATCTAATTACGAAGAGTTCAAAAGATTTTGAGCATGCACCATTAACATTTTTACAAACTATTCAGTAAATGTAGACACACTGAAAGGGTGCTGTAAAATCCATTTAAACCCAAATCAATGAACTAGTTAGCACACAAACTTTGCATTCACACTTTTAAATCTCAAACAAAGTATACACAAAGAAGTCCTTTAATGCTAGTAATACCCATTGCCTTTGCAACTTTAAAGGAGCAGTGACTGTTTCCATTATAAAACATTTTCTGTGTTTTATTCATCCTAAACTGAAATTTTACATATGAGTTTTGAGTCAGGATGTAAATATAATCCAAAAAATAGCTAACATTATTTAAGCTCTTACTCATACACTTAAATCTAATATTATTAAAGTTCCTTGAAGGGATGAACTATGACAGGAAAAAAACGAGTTAACTAAAACCTTTCCAATTTCACTCATGCCATTATGTATAGAGGGATCTGAGCCCATATAGCGTATGACAATATATCATCCATTGACTTAATATATTTCGGAAAGAGCCCTTAATATTACACAATACTATACCTTAACACAACTCTGACTAAAATGCAAGACACGTGCACATTTGAAAAAAAAACTAAAGCAAAATTCAACAATATGTTCATCAAAAGCAGTATTTAACTTCCAATATAAACTTTCTTGATTTTTTGACTCAGACCCTTTGTCATATTATGAGAATACACTACCTCATCAACAGCAAGAAAGAAAGCTAAGAAAAACACAACAGGTACTTACCAGCTGAGAAAAAAAAAAAATCCAGTTTAACATCTAGTTACAAAATTGCTCTCCTTGAGAGATGGTTAGTTAGCTCTGCAAAATTTTTAAAGGGCTACTAACAGAAATGCATGAAGGGGAAAAAAGGTCCTATAAAGGTCAACTGGGTACAGATGAACATTAGTAAGAAATAAGTAAATCACTAGACCATGTGCTCCTGAAGAAAGATGTATTTGTATTATACATATCAAATGCATCTTTGTGTGTGTTTATTTAAAAGAGGAAATTATATAGTATTTTAAAATAAGAGTAATATTTGATTTAGTGTGAATTACAATACTGCAATATTATATTACAGAATTAGTTTTTTAAGCAAGCTAGGATAAGAGGCATATCCAGCAGATAAGATAAATTGTATATATTACAATCCTTCGGGAGGGAAAAATGTGACAATACATTTGCTATCCCTGCATTTACATGGATTATTGGTATAAGAATTCCATGTTCTAGCATCAATAAAACCAGGCTGGTTGGGGAGGAGGTGAGCGAGCCACCAAAAGCCTTATGGATTGGGGGAAAGCAACATTTCCTGTGATGTAGGAAAAAAAGTTCCAATCTTGCCTTTGCTAAGTGTGATATATATTTCTCTGCACCTCATCAGCCTTGTTGTTGAGCAAGGCCATGAACCCCAAACCTAGAGGGCAGACACATATGAGCTACCACTTTATTTTAACATATAAGTTAATGGGTTACACAAGATCACTGCAGGCATAATCAGAACAGAACCCAGGACTTTAACATGGTAGTCTCAAATGTTATGTCAG